ATACAGTCAATTCATATACAGTGTGTTAATTAATTATCGTACCCGACGTCATCATTGCAAGTATGCAACCAATATCACAGTATTTATTTTATAATACGATATTTGCGTATTGTAATACCAATACTGTGATATTGGTTGCATACTTGCAATGATAACGTCGGGTACGATAATTAATTAACACACTGTAGATTTTTAAATGTAAGTATGAAGCAAACATAGACATAATTATATGAATTTCGCGTAATTCGTTAAAATCCCGTCTTGCCAGTAATATAAGTCTTCTTTTTGATTAGTTTGAATTTATATCAATGGTTCCGATGAAATGAGTGACATCTTTTGGTGTTTGATAAAACTATATGCTTTGTTTTATTATATGGATGTAATCCTCTCTTAAATTTGGGAGGGGGGCATTTAAAAGAAAAAAGGAGAGGAAATGAGTTTATTGCTTAAGGAGAGCTCAAGATAGCTTATATTCAGTGGTTCTAGTCATTGATAATGTTCCTTGGCATTGTGGTGTTGAACAAGAATTTCTTCATCATAAACTTGTAAGGCTAAGACTTACAGTCCAATGCTAAACCCAATTGAATCTGCTTGGTCAATTTTGAAAGCGGGTGTAAAGGCGAAGTTGGTTGGCAAATGCAATTACAAATATTTGGAAGGAAATGACCAAGAAAATTTGTCTCAGAGTACAGAATTCGAAAATTAGAAAATATAATTGGGAGCAATATTCCAAAAATTAATGTAACTGTTACAGGTTTATAGCCAGAATTCAAAAGCACCTCTATTTTAAACATGGAAGATATCACCTTTTAACTTTAGTATATTGTTTATTACCAAGTATAAAACCATGTATTTAAAATGTTAATCACGAATTAAAGATTGTTTTGTTAAATTATTGAATGCTAATTTGATGTTGATTAATGCCAAATTGGTTTTGTTTAATGCCATTTTGAATTTGATTAGTACCAATTTGAACTTGAATAGGTATAGTGGTAGTTCTATGAGTTAAAAATATTTTGTTGATTCTAATAACTCTCATTATATCGAGGTTTTACTGTAATAATATTTTACCTATCTCCATAAGCAATATCAAAATTCTCAATTCTAATATCTTGAGTTTTATTGTTCCCTTTAGCTTCTAATTTATATTCTTTTTTACTTGTAACTTGTGAGGCTGTAGCTGATTCTAATTTAGGAGCATTATTACCCACCCTAGGAGTTTCTTTTTGGCGTTTTTCTGCTTTTTCTTGTAATTTAGCTTGGGCTTTCTCTAATTTTTTCGCATCAACTTTCTAAAAAAAAAATGAATACGCCCATAATATACTTTCTAATAAATAACTAACCAAACTATCATCTCTTTGCATAACCCATATACTTTTCATATCATCCACGGTACTCTCTAAATTTGCAGCCATGGATCCTAAATGAACTGGAGCATGTAAAACTTTGGCTAAACCGTTGGTATTTTGAGTGTTTTTAGTTGGTCGTAACATATTTAATAATTTATCGCATATACACCTAAATAAATAAGCAATTAATTATTTAATTGAATCAAACCATAATTTAATTTATCAATTACCTTATTTCTTTTTCTGTTTTTTCCGCAGCAATTTCGTGTAAAACTTCGCCGACCGCCTCGTAAATTTCATCGCTATCTTGAAAATCATCTGCCCCGTTTTCGAGTACATCTAGTTAAAATATAGTAGAAAATTCGTGATAAAAATCGTTAACATGTGTCCCGTTCGTAAACCAAAACGTATTTATTTTCCTTTTATAATTATTAAAGCTTACCTTGTACATATTGTTTTAAATCATCATCAATTAACGGAAATTCAGTTTTAATAAAATCACTACATTGCATCATTATGTTGCCTTCGTCGTTAGATATTTTTCAATCATAAATTTTATCTCTTGCACGGTGTTTTAGGTTAGATTTGGAAGGCAATTGACAATTTCACAATTGACGTTTACAAAAGATATTCAAGACGAAGTGTTACCAACTGATATTTTTTATAAATAAAATGTTACTAAAATAAACTAATTGAAACTTGATTTGTAAAAATTTAATGAAAAAATCGATATTGGACGTGATATAGGAGCGAAAATTCATGAATTACTATTTAAATTTACTAATTCTACCGATGTATGTCTAATCTCTCTTTGTAGTGATATTGGTTCCTGAAAACAATGCAAACTCCACTCTCGAGCTTCTCTGCTCAATTCATTTTGCTCAAATTTTGTTCAAACTGTTCAAATTTTGTATAAATATGTTGATACTGTTATACGTGAATTTGTCCCTTTAACACTGCAGTAGTCGCGCCTCCGGTTATTAGAAGAGTTGGCGCATGTCATCTCTAAGATTCTTTTCTATTCAAAGCATACAAAAGTATTAACTGGTTAGTCCAGACAGACCTAAGGAGTCGTGCAAAATATCTAATCCATCTTAATTACATGAAGTATGCTAGAAGATCTGAAAGCAATACAACAAGCAAAGCATTTCTACCGACATCTTCAAGCAACAATAGACAAGATAAACTATAGGGACAAGGTAATAATAACTGAGACCTGAATGCCCGAATTGGCAATCTCTATACAATGAATAAAATAAAAATACAACGAATAAATAATAAACGAGATGCTAGTAGAAACGAGCTAAGAATTAACAACAAATTTTTTTCACACAAGGAGCAACACAAATATACTTTCAACAACAGTAGAGGCCAACGGTCAATAATAGACTATATAATATCAAACAGGTCAATACTTTTCTCGCAAATAATCGATGTGAGAGCACTAACATCAGCCAACATAGGAATATATCACAATGTCGTATTATGCAAGATGTGTTCTGCAAAACCTCACAAAACACTGGTTCTGCCAAGAAGTTAAGCACTTAGACCACCACCTGCATGGCGCCCAAAGAAGGATTTGGAAGATACTCCGAAATCGTAAAAAACACTTAACGAGTTTATCCAAACCAATATAGTTTCACAAGCAGAATGACAGAAATATTTAAAAAAAACTATACTCCTCAGAAAGACTTATACACATTGATGAACCAGTAAATACCAACACCCTTATTCAGATAGAAGATGTTAAAGAAAAGCTCGGCAAACTCAAAAATAGAAAATCTCCTGGAACAGATAAAATACCCAACGAATTGCTCAAGGATGGTGGAAAAGTCTTATTAGAAAAATTAACCTATCTATATTCAACAGAGCTGCAAAACTCTGAAATACCAAATGAATGGCACAAAAGGAGCAAAAAGCTAACCCTGAAAACTATCGTGGCATAACACTGTTGAACACTTCTATGAAGCTATTTATAAATATACTAAAAAAATAAGCTACAAATGCCGACAGCAGCAAGGCTTTAGGAAAGCCAGATCCATAAACTGATGCCGTCGTTATCATGAAGCAAATATATGAGAAGTCAATTATGTTGTGAACTTGACCAAAGCTTTCGATAGAGTGCAATTGGGTCATGTATTAAATCTGTTAAAACAAAGAGGG